TCTATAATCTGTTTCTTTAACTAGGTCATAACTACTTATCAATCATTATAAAAGCTTTATTATCCTTTAAGTACTCATGACCATCATTATTTTAAGCTAATATATAGAATGACAGGAACACAGTTTGCCATATTCAGTATTTATATAAACATGAAAGATGCTACGGAGAGGAGGAAACCACTAAAATCATGATTGATTTTAAGACAAATATAATAATTGTTTTTGAATTTTAAATGAATCAAAAAAGTCTACATTCAAAGAGTAAATTTTATACTGGGTTTGAGAAATCTGATTTTACACAAACAAAATGAGAGTACTATAGTAATTTTCCATGGTTTCCACTTTTGATATTATTAAATATCAAATAATTAAATAACTGTTGAAAATCACTGGCTATGTCTCCATTCCCTTATCTGGAAAGTAGGGATACTACTACCTGCCTAGATTTTCTTCTTAAGGAGATTTAAAGGGAAAAAAGTTCAAATTTCTAAAAAGAAATTTACTTCATAAATTTAATGCTTCTATTATTTTCATTTTAACAGTTATTGCAGCTGAACTAGTAAGTGACAAAATAACCGAGTATAATTTTGAATACATAGAATTAACATGAAAAGTGGAAGTCTTTGACTACACACTTTGTGGAAGTGAAATGAACCAACAGAACTATCAGTAGAGCTATTAAACCACAGTTTTCTCATAGAAAAAAAAGCGTTTGTGTGCTATATGCATTTAAAGCATGCATATCTGAATTTTTCTTCCATTCGTCTGATATTTTCATTAAAAAATTAAACTTGAAATTTTTGAAAGACTTAATCAATTTTCTGAACCTGAAAATGTAGTTTTAATCATTCCCTCATATACATTTGCAAAGTCATTATATTTGTAAAGTGCTTCAAGAATCATGGCTGTAAAGGACAGCAAAGCTCCCAAGGTGAAACAAAAAATGAGAGAACAGTTCGTCTGAATCTTTTTCCAGTCTGGGTGCAGATTAGGGGTAGATAGGGGTAGAGAGTCTCTTTCTGAACCTCCTGGCTTTATACTCTTTCCCGTTAAAGTGCGACAGAAAACACTAGAATTTATAACCATTAAAGATTATGAAATAAAAAATAATGCTAAGTTTCAAAAATTCAAGTTCATAGTCACTGGGCCCTTTCACTGAAAATAGTTGTTTCATCACTTTTGCTTCTGGGAGAAACGCTTGGCACGCAGTGAACAGAAATGAAAACATGAGACAGCAGAAAGTCTCAGCACGGTGCAGTCTAAAACGTTTGTAAGCACCCTTTATGTAATAAGTAATGGAGTAGCTGGAAAACTGCCTCTAAAAGCAGAAGGTTCTGGCCAAAAGTGAAGACTAGCCAATGCATTTGAGAAGTGAAGTAGCGTGAAGCAAAACCAGGAGATGTTCAACGCAAGTTTCTTAGGTAAAGCTCCATAAGGAAGTATGGAATAAATAAATCTCATTTAAACAAATTATGCCAAATAAAAATTGTTATGGTATTTCTTAATCAAGGTGGAGATGGGGGAGTGAGGGGGCTGGGGGAGGGAGTTACCACTTGGCTAAAGGCAGCCATAAAATTGTATTGCTAATCTGTGAAATCTGAAGAGAAGTATAGAGAACAAAGAACAATTAATTACCTTTCCTTCAAGCCTGGTTGAATGTTTCTGCCCCAAGTGGTTTATAGAAGATCCCTCTTGGATAGCATCAAGAAAGTTTTCACGTGAACTAGATACTTTGCGATTTAAAATTATTATATATCGGGCTTCCCTGGTGGCGCAGTGGTTGAGAGTCCGCCTGCTGATGCAGGGGGCATGGGTTCGTGACCTGGTCCGGGAAGATCCCACATGCCGCGGAGCGGCTGGGCCCGTGAGCCATGGCCGCTGAGCGTGCGCGTCCGGAGCCTGTGCTCTGCAACGGGAGAGGCCACAACAGTAAGAGGCCCGCGTAAACAAAAAAAAAAAAAAAAAGTTAAAATTATTATATATCAAGAGCAGAAAGGAGTCCTTTCTAATCCTGCAAAAAAAAGAAAAAAAATGGAGAAGAGATTTTGGATTGAAATTCTTGGATTCTCTGTAGCATAGAGATGAAGCCATTTTTAAAGTTCTCTGCACGGCAGGTTTTATTCAGATAATTGTTAGACTAAGAGGGGTTAGGAAACGGTATGGAGAATTCACAACCAACAGGAGCAATGGTCAAGGCAGGCTTCCAGATGGTAAAGAAGTAGAGCCAGCCGCTCCTAATAAAGCCCCTAAAATCATGACCTGGAAGACAGAGTAGGCAATCACCAAGGAGAAGTAGATCATCTCTGGAAGGATGAATGATTAGCAAATCAGATAGTGTTTTTTCTTTTTGTTCTTTTTTTTGGCCGCCCCGTGCAGTGCGGCATGTGGGATCTTAGTTCCCCGGCCAGGGATCGAACCCGTGCCCCTTGCAGTGGAAACACAGAGTCTTAACCACTGGAGCACCAGGGAAGTCCCAGGTAGTGTTTCTTGGTTAGAAAAGAAAGGGGGCATCTCAGCAAAGGGCATGCCAGTTGAAATATCTTACTCTGCACATTCTGCAACCCTGTGAAAGGAGAGAATTTGTTTTGGCTCTATAAACCTTAAGTCATGAAGTAACAACCCAAATTAATACCTGCCTACCTAGAACCCTCAAATTTTGTTGGCATTAGAATTGTAATGCTGAAACTAATTTTTTTCTGCCCTAATTATCTTCAAATTTTGGCCAGCTGGGTCTTGATATATACCATATTCACTAAGCAACTATTTTATGAAAGGTGATTGCATCTTAGTTCTTATATGAAGGTCAGAGATTAAGTTCTTCAAACAAATTAATGTAAAGAGCAGGAACAAAATGATTTTTAAAATTAGGTAACAGCTTTGGAAATACTTTCTCTTCTCCCCCAGCCCCTCTTGAAAAGCAGTAATCTTTGTTAACTTAGGGGTATAATGTTTGGGAATCATGCTAAAATACTGGCATATTATATCATTGTATTCACTATTTAAGAAGGGTGAAATCTTTTATCAGAAATCTTTGAGTGAGAAAATGTGTTTATGTCCTAAAGCTTGTTTGATTGAACCTGTGCTACCAGCCTACAAGGTGACCTCAATGAGCTTCTGGTACTCATCCTTGTATAGTCTGGTCTCACATTAAACAGGGCCAACCTGTGTAAGATTACATAGACTATTGCAGGAATGACAGTGTATGACTTCCAAGCCTACATCATAAAAGACATTTGGTTTCCACCATGTTCTCTCTGGGAGCTTGCTCTGGAGGAAGCCAGCTGACATGTTGTGATAACACTCAAGCGACCCTACAGAGAGGTGCTCATGGCCAGGAACCTAGGCCTCCTACCAATCATCTTAGATCTTCCAGCACCAGCCAAACCTTCAGATGACTGCAGTCGCAATCAATGTCTTGATTACAGTCTCATGAGACAGCAAGGGAAGCTGTTCCTAGCTTCCTGACCCACAGAAACTGCTGAGATAATACATGTTTATTGTCCTGAATCACTAGATGTGGGATAATTTGTTACTACAGCAATAGATTACAAAGTGGGTTTTTTTTCAAGAAAGAGTAAGAGCAACACAAATGAACACACCCATTTTAAGCCATTTACAAAGTTGAAAGGCTCTGCAGTTACTAGTACTTAATGAGGCCTTATCTCAAGAAATTTGCCATTTAGTTCCTTGTTTCTCAAAGTGTTGTACCAAGACCAGCTGTATTGGCATTACCTGGGAGCTTATTAGAAATACAGAATCTCAAATTCCACCCCAGACCTACTGAATCAGAATCTACCTTTTATGAGACTTCCCCTACTACATGTAAGTATACATCAGAGTTTGAGAAGCAGCACTGATCTGTTTGAATACTCATGTTACAGCCTATAGTTGGAAACGCTGGCTGTGCATTAGAAGCACTTCCAAAAACTACTGTTGGAGAAGTCCATCCCCAGAAGTTCTGATTTAATTGGTCTGTGTTAAGGTCTATTATGGCCATGGACCTAATTATATTTCACAGTTTTTCCCCTGGAAAACTATGTTGAAGCCTCAGATCAGCCCTGAATTCCCAGCATGTTCCAGTCCTGGTTCTAGAAGTCAGGTATGCCCAGGTGTATCCCTGAGACTGCCCTGGGGGAACTATGGAGCACTAAGCAAGAATATTCTGGGGCACTGCATGCCAGGGCAGCTTCACAGTTGCTGAAGAACTACTGCATATATCTCTGCCTTCTCTTATTCATACTCTTCAGGATTTAGTTCATTCCAAGAAAAGCATCCATGTTCTTACCTTACAGGTCGGTTTGGATTTGCTGTCTAGGGCCACTCAGAGAACAGGTGGTGAATAACCTAAGGTTTCAGGGTAACTTGGACCAAACTTCTTTTAGTTTCATCTTTCCCTAATGGTAAAAGGGAAGTAACTAATATTTCTCACAATCCTTTGGGGAATATGCTTTTACTGTTGACCAGGCACTACTAAATTAAGACTTCGAGTATGATGGGTGCTTACAAATGTTAGACCTATTACTTAATGAGAAGCTCAAACTGACAACAATAAACATCACTTGAATGTAAGGGGGGGTGGGGTGCAGGGATTTTCTGTTTACGAATGCATCCCCAGCGACGGAGACAATGCCTGGCACACTGCATGCTTTAATAAATATTTGTTAATTAAGTAAATTCCTCAAAAAACAATAACTTCCGATCATACACATTCAAAGTTACTGAACGAACCATGTTAGCGAATCTGCAACGGAAATTGTTTTATCAAAGGATTTTTAAATAAAGCTCCAGATTTCCTTTTAAAAAATAAATAGTGTGCCCCAATTCAATGCCATGTTTCAGGTTCCTGCCCTAGTTTAGCCTCGGCTCCTCATTTGGAGGCTGGCTAAGGGATGTGATCCCTGCCCTTGAATCTCCTTCCTTTGTAGTTTTTTTGACCTGCGCGGTTTCGTTTCCCAGGCGGAGGAGCGCGCGCCGCGGCTGCGCCCATCAGCGCGCGGAGCGGGGTTGGGGCTGTCAGGCGGGCGGGGCCGCCTAGTACCCTGGAGGGGCCGATCTTCTCGCGCTGCAGAGCCTCCTCTCCCACCTCTCTCCTTCCGGGGTTTGGCATCCCTCGGGGAGCAAGAAGCCCCCTCCAGCCCTGACAGCGGGCTGGGCAGGCGGTGCGGTCGGGCCCGGGGGCGGATGCTCGCGGGTGGGCCGGGCCGGCCGGCTGCGGGGGAGGCGGGCTGCGTTATTTCCCGCTAGGGCCAGACTCCGGGAGGGACTGGCCTGCACCGTGCTCTTGGCCCCAGCCAGCGCGCGCCGCCCCTCGGGCAGGGCCTGGAGGCGAGCGAGGCGGCGGCGCGGCATTCCGGGCCTCGGGCCGGGCTCGTGAGCGGGCCGGGGCCGGAGCCGGGCCGACGCCCCAGCGGCGCCTCTCCCACGCTCGCGGCCCCTCCCCCTCCCTTCCTTCCTTCCCCTCGGATCTCCCGGGAGCGGCGGGCGGACGCGAGCCGCGGCGGGCGCCCGAGCTTTGTGCGCGCCCGCGGGCCCGGGGCGAGCTTCGGGCGGCCCAACTTGGCGGCGGCCGGCGGGCTCCCGGGAGGGAGTTGTGAGGCGTGGCCGGGTGGAGGAGGCGCCTGGGGGGGCGTGGGGCTCCCCGGCGAGCGGGAGGGACAGAGCGAGGCGCGCCGGACAATGAGCTGGGCAGCTCGGCGCTGCGGCCACTTTTAGGGGAGCGCGGGCCGGCCGGCGCCTCCGCGGCTCCACCTGCGAGGAGAGGGCGGGATGCCAGAGCTGGGTGACCCGGCGCTCTGAGGCTGCTCGCAGTTAGACGTCCCTGAGCCGGTGCTCGCCTTGACCCTGGGCTACCTGCAGGCTTTGGCTGGGACGTGTTTCGTGGGGGCGCCCCTGGAGCAGCCGTGATGGCCAGCACCAGGAGTATCGAGCTGGAACACTTTGAGGAACGGGACAAAAGGCCGCGGCCGGGGTCGCGGAGAGGGGCGCCCAGCTCCTCCGGGGGCAGCAGCAGCTCCGGCCCCAAGGGGAACGGGCTCATCCCCAGCCCGGCGCACAGTGCCCACTGCAGCTTCTACCGTACGCGGACCCTGCAGGCCCTGAGTTCGGAGAAGAAGGCCAAGAAGGCGCGCTTCTACCGGAATGGGGACCGCTACTTCAAGGGCCTGGTGTTTGCCATCTCCGGCGACCGCTTCCGGTCCTTCGATGCGCTGCTTATGGAGCTCACCCGCTCCCTGTCGGACAACGTGAACCTGCCCCAGGGTGTCCGCACCATCTACACCATCGATGGCAGCCGGAAGGTCACCAGCCTGGACGAGCTGCTGGAAGGTAGGAGGGAAGGCCCGGCGCGGCAGGTGCGGCCCCGCGTGCCGACAGGTGCACGCGCACTCCCGGCGCTGGGGGAGCCTGCGGGGGATTTTCTAGGCGGCCGCAGGAGTTGTGCGGCTCTGTCTTCTTTTCCGCAGGCTCTATGGGTGGGGCGCGCTTCCACATATACTCTGACTGTCCTTCCCAAAAGATTTGCCTTAGAAAAGAAAGAAAGAAATCCTAACGGGATTTGGTGACATCTCTTAAGATTGGCGGACTTGCTTTTGTTTTTTGCTTTTTTGAAGTGCAAAGTCTCACGTGAGGATCTGGGTAACCCTTTAGCTCATAAGCTGTCTGTTCAGCCCTCTGTGTGGAGCTCAGTGCCGGCACCTGTGTTTCAGTGTTCAGGACCCTGTTGCACCTGCTTTACTCAGAAGTCGTGGTTGTGAAACACTCTAGGTTGGCTTTCCTGGTTTGCCTTGCAGCAGAAGTTCCATCAGGTCAGGAGGGGCGATCCAAGACAGTGGTTCTCAACCTTGGTTGCATCTTGGATCACTGGGGACTTTAAGAAATATGGGTGTCTGGGTCCCATCCCCGGATACTTGGATGTAATTGGTTTGGCGTGTGGTCGGGGCATCTGGAGTTTTCAAAGCTCCTCAGGAGATTTGAATGTGCTGCAGAGATTGAGAACCGTTGTGCTAAAGGGTTTTCCACGTTTGGTTGATAATGAGGTGAATCAAGGTCAATCTCTCCTGCATCCTCCCCTACTGAAAGTAGCTAGTTAGGGTGACAAAGGCCATTGGAATCAGCAGTTGGGGCCCCTTATAAATTAGGCCTAGGGTGTCAACCATGCTTGACTCGAAGGGACTGCTTGGCTGTATGTTGTGTCATCCTTGAATTCCTGCAGTATTTACTCTTCTTTCACTTCAGGGAGAGAAAGCATTACTAGTAGTTAAGAACCTATATCCAGAACTAAACACCACCCATAAAGATCAGACAGAACCCAAGTATGTGCTGACTGTGTGTTTATATACAGTCTGCTCTCATGCATCTTTCTTAATGCAAATGGCACATATTGCTATGGTAGTCATAGCAATGTTGGCTTGGCAGGGGAAGGAAACTGAACTTGAAGCCAACTATTTTTCTTATATTAGCACATCATGTTCTTATGTTCTGAAGACACTGTCCATTTTACACATGGGGAAACTTAAGCAACATGCCTTGTCATACAGGACTTGCAGTATATGGCCTTTCATCTACAATTCACTTTTAATAAATTGATGTAGCTACACTGCGGAGTCGTGAAAGTGGTTGAGATTCTATTTAGTCACTGTTACCAAAAGTCTTCCCTGCCCTGGCTAGATGAGGACCCAGCCAAAACTAAGTTGTCTTTTGAGAGAGAGAGAGAGAGAGAGAGAGAGAGACTTCACAAATTCTCCTGCTCACTTGAGTGTTTTGGTTTTAAAGGCTTCCGGAGGAGGTTTTGCTTTATCCTGTTACATACTTAAAAGCTACATTTGCTTAGATATTTCAAAACTGAGTAATGAATTTTCTGATTGACCCAAAGGTAGATTACTAGCTCTGTGGAAGGATCAAGGCAATGCCTTTTTTACTTAAACACTCATTACTCACATGCCCTTGGGATACTGTGCCTGGTGTGGTCTGAGGAGGGACAGTAGTTTTAATATCCTTCTCAGAAGTAATTTTAACAGTGTGTTTGCTACATGAAATGAATGTACTCCAGAGGTGAACATGATCCTAGGGAAGATGGTCAAGGTGTCCATTATGCATATTAAGTGAGAGCACATATTGTACATTGAGTTTGTTATTGCCCAAGTGGTGCATGGTCCACTGAGTCTAATTCTCAAACTGTAGGTTCAACTATAAATTGAAGGTTGATAAATATCCTTTGAATCATTCATTCACTGATTTGTGGAGGAGGGGGAACCATAAGCATATGTAGAGTCCAAATTACACCACAATATGAAAAATAATGATAGAACACAAATATTTGCACCATGGAAATGTTTCCCTAGTATGGCCAATTGCCCACTTGTTTCAAATACAATAAAATTACATTTTATTAAATATACTACAAATACTGCAAAAGAAGAAAATTTGAGCACTTCTTTTGTCATAGTGGCATTCTGTCTGACAATAGATCTTTGTCTAAGTCTTGAATTTCCCACAAAGTGAGTGGAATACCCTGTTTCTAGGCGGTTTTTAAGAAAAGAACCATCAGTGTTTACTATCAACTCTTCAAGAATTTAAATAGTTTCAACTTTTAGTTAAAATTGTGTACTCGAATGTTCAGATTTATCATGCAGAAGAACTAACCAGCTACCTGTGAAGTTATTCTTTGCATCAGTCAAAATAGGTCTGTGGTATTTCCCATGTTGTCAAAATTGACTGTTTCATCTTAGTTCATCATTTTTAATAAAGATTCTCTGATAGTATTTTTTTATACCATTATGTTCAGCTGATCTCTCATTTGCCTCTTCCATTCTATGCAACTTGTAGTTTAGGAGAAATTATTTTTCCCAAAACGTTGTTTTCCTAAAATGTTTTCAGTGGAGAATAGAAAGCGATGACTCAAGATAGCTAGGCATGAACACTCACTCAGAGCCTCAGTCCCTTTGAACTCAGATGACAAAAGAAATTTGCATGGCCCAGATTTTTTTCTTCTGCCCTTGAGAGTCTCTGGAGACCAAAGACTGTTCAGGTGTAGGCTGGTACTCCTGCGCTACACTAAACCAGCAGGCATTTTGAGCCCTATTGTTTTAGCTCCCCTTGCTGCATTAATTTCAATGAGTTGGTGCTGTGCGTCCCTGTAATCCTGTTTAGTCTTTACAACTGGATGGGGACCTCCTCTCAAAGGAGGACTGTGAGTCATAACAGTCAGTACTGGGAAAATCAGGTTGAGCTGTCTGAAGCCATGAGCCAGCCAACCGTGTCACATCTCTGATAGACAGCTGAAGATGTCTGGATGGCACCTTCCTAAGTTCTCAGTCAGAACTCTCGGTCTTAGTTTTTTTTTTTTTCCGTGAGTGTTCTCTTCTTCAGAACATTTAAGCTATAATTATTTTGATGTCCCAAAGAGAGATGCCCAAGGACGGTAGAAACAATGTGTGACCAAGTTGGGGTACCTAGGTTCTGTGGATTTGAGAAAAATTCGCCTCTGTTCTCAGCCTTAGTGACCTTTTCTGTTGAAAGAGAGGTTGGCAGATCACCTAAGTTAGATCCTTTCTGGTCTAAAAGTATATACCCTTCCCCTGCCTAAGTGGTTATTCATTGAGTGTCTGATGGCCTGGGCTGCCTTTCCCTACCCAGAACCTCTCTTCCGGAAAATCGACAAAGCTGCAAATGTCCTACACAGCAGGGAGTGGGTATATGCCTCTGATGAAGTGTTTGACAGGAGCCAAAAAATTAAGAGCTACCCGTCTCTGCCTCTTTCATTCCAAAGTAATATGTCAGTTTATGTTGTTTATACCTTTTACTTCTCAGTCACCAATAAATAAACTGATTGGATTTTTTGGCATGTGAGAGAATTTTGATTATTTTGACAGGTGACACTTCCATTCTTCCATTAAGTTAACTTGAAAACTTCCATTAAGTTAACTTGAAAATTAGCTTGAATTAACTTGAATTTAAGAAAAATAAAGTTCTAAGAAAATCAAGCATTTGAAGTTTTTGAGATTCTCCTACTAAGCCTAGTTTATTGAATCTCTTTGGTTATTCAGTCTCTTTGAAAGTGTTAAACCAAAATATGGTGACAGTTATATTTAAGTAAAAATGAGTTTACATTTAAGTAAAAATTAAGTTAACATTTAAGTAAAAATGCATAAGAACTCAGATTATAGTTTTTATCCCCTTGAATGATAGATTTTTAGAGTAATAATAGAAACTGAGCTCTTGGAACTTGTTACAGTGAGGAAGGCAACATAAACCCGTGAGATGTAAGGTATTTGCACATAGTAGTCATAAAGCAGTACACATTTATATAAGGCAAGCATGATGATTGGACACAGCAGTTTAACATTGAATCATCAGCCTGCAAAACCTTCTCTACCTGGCAGACTCCTAGATCCTCCTAGATCCAAGACCCTCTTCAAATATCATCTTTCTATGAAATCTCTTCCCAGACCTCAGGGGCATTGGTCTCAAACTGTTGTCGATTGAGAGCATAGTTGTCGTTTCAGGTGCTGGGGGTACAGTTCTAGAATGCTCACATTCTAGAGGGAGAGAGAGAGTGAACGCGCACACACACACACACACACACACACACACACACACACACACACACACGATGGTTCCAGCTGCAGGGCTGTAAGTGAAGTGGTAATGAGGTGGGGCAGGAGGACCACACTGGCCAGGACAATGGAAAAGGATTGCCAGAGGAACAGATGTTGGAACCAAGGCCTGAGGTCAAGCTTAGAACTCTGCCATTTGCTTAATCACAGCATTTTTCCTTTCCTCTATTGTAACACTTACCTTTATAATTACAGGTATATTGGGTCTGTTTTTTGCACTAGACTAAGCATGTCGTGAGGTTAGGGATCTTGGACACAATGTTCATTAAATAAATAGCCCAGGAAGTGACTTTACCTCTAAGTCTCTTGATTGTCAAGGGAAGTTTTGTATGAATTAAGTTTGAATAGGGTTGTTTCTATGTATTTGTGAAAATATGTATTTTGAAAAATTGGATTATAGTCCAGATAAATCAGAGATGCTCTGCTGACTCATCGCTGTGGAGAGAATGACTCTTCCTCAGTACTTGCTTCTATAAATCTGATTGTTTTCTTCTTCTCATTTCCTCAAAACAGGGGAACTCAGGTCTGCTATAACACAGCTGCATAATAAGCTCTTTCCAGAGGTAATGGGAAGAGAAATTTTCATTTGCAGAATAGAGAAGTCTAAAGGGTTGGGGGAAGAAGGGAAATACTTGGGAGAGCATTTATGAGATGAGGGTCAGACAGAATGATACACTGGTAGTTATAAGAAAAGATCACTATTTCATGAGG